AGGGTTTTTGAAAATGTCTTTTTATCAGATGTGACAAATCCCTTCTATCTCTTGTTTTTTGAAAATGGATGGTGAATTTTGTCAAATATTTTTTCCATCTATTGATATTATTACCAAGGCTGTTGTTGCTTTGGTTTGTTAATATGGAAAGTTTATTAATTGGTATTGAAAGTTAAACCAAACTTGAATTTCTGGGGTAAACTCTAGTTGGTCACAACGTATTAGTTTCTATCTATTGGGGGATTTGATTTTTGTTAGGAATGTTTATAGTTTTCTAATTTCTTTGATTTGTATCAATGTAAAGCTTTTCTTTTCTATAAATGTTTGTATAGAATTTGTATCTTCTTGCTTAGATGTTTGGTAGAATTCATTATCACCACTGATTCCATATTGGGCCTACTGTTTTCTTTGTAGAAAGGTTATTAAAATGCAATTTCTGTATAGATACAAATGCAATTTCCTTAATGGATATACTCTTTCATCTTAAATGAGCTTTGGAAATTTGTGACTTTCAGGAAATTTTTAATTTCATCTCAGAAGTCAAATGTATTGGCATAAAGCTGTTCACAGTTTTTCTGTGTTTTCTTTATAATGCATCAAGATATATAGTGATACTCTCATTTCATTTTTGATATCGATAGTTTGGATCCTTTCTTTTTTTCTCCTGATCGGTCTTACTAGAAGTTTATCAACTTTATTTACAAAAATTTTGGTTATACCAATTTTCTCTATTGTTTTTGGTTTCTATTTGTTTGATAAAATATTTTTTATCTTTATTCTTTCTGCTCACCGTATATTATTTGCTTTTCATTTTTGTTTTCAAAAATCTTAAACCACATTAAATTACTGCTTTCAGATCATTCTCGGTTTCTAATATAAGCATTTAAAGTAATAAATTTTACTCTCAGTATCCTACTGATTTTATGTTGTGTTTTAATTAAATTCAGAGCATTTTCAAATTTTCTTAGACATTTTTTTTGTTTGGCCCAGAGGTTATTTAATTATGTGTTATTTAATTTCTACTATTTGAATATCTTCTCAATATCATTTGTTTTTAATCCATAAGATTTCAATTTTTATAGATTTAAACAATGTATAGGGATTTATGTCTTAGAATATGGCTTACCTTGGTGAATATTTCATGCACAGTTAAAAACATGTTCACTCTGATGTTGTTAGGTAGAGTGTTCAATAATTAGGTCAAGTTAGTTGATGACATTGTTCAAGTTTTTATATTCTAATTTTCTATTATATTAATTATTGAGTAAGAGTGTTGGAGTCTCCACCTCAAACTGTGAATTTGTCTCATATCAGTGCATGTATTTTGAAACTGTGCTTTCACATGCATACAGATTTAGGATTATTATATCAATAATAAATAGATACTTTTATTACTATAAAATATTCTTAATCACTTTTTTTTTTTTCTCAAATTCTACTTTGGCTGAGAGTAGGAAATACAGTTAATCAAACTTTCTTATGTTTACTATTTTTATGGTATCTTTTCCCATTCTTTTACTTTTTTAAAATTGTTGACACTATTACAAATGTTCCCCATTTCCCCCCACCCCATCCCTTTGCCCTTCTCCACCCAGTTCCCAGCCCCCCACCACCCCTGGCCTTTGCCACAGCATTGCCTGTGTCCATGGGCTTTGGCTAATCTCTTCACCTTCTTTTAAGTATACTTGAGATGGGTTTTTGTAACAATATTTAGTTGGGTTTTGCTTTTTTTATCCAATATAATAATCTCTGCTTTACAATTAGATTGTTTAATACAATTATTAATTTTAATGTAGTTATCAGTATGTCTGGATTTAGATCTATTATCTTGCTATTTCTCTCTATTTGTGTATCTTTTCTTGCTTTTTAAAAATTGAATACATTTTTATGGTTTCTTTCTAACTATGCTTATGACTTCCAGGCCCAAACCCTTTGCTCTATCTATCTATCTATCTATCTATTATTTATTTATTTAAGTTTGGTGGTTGCTCTAGGGCAGTGGTTCTTAACCTTCTGGCCCTTTAAATACAGTTCCTCATGTTGTGACCCAACCATAAAATTATTTTCGTTGCTACTTCATAACTGTAATGTTGCTACTGTTATGAATCGTAATGTAAATATCTGATATGCAGGATGGTCTTAGATGACCCCTGTGAAAGGGTCATTCAACCGCCAAAGGGGTTGCGACCCACAGGTTGAGAACCGCTGCTCTAGGGCTTAAAAAATACATCTTTACATTACCAGAGTCTACCTTTAAAAAACATTGTATCACTTCATATATGGTCAGAGAACCTTCCAACAGTATACATCCATTTTCACCTTTCTATTCCTTTTATTGTTTTTTTGTCATACATTTTACAATACATATGTTATAAACTGATAAATTTATTATTATTTCTAATTAAATAGTTCTTTTAAAGGTATTTTAAAATTGAAAAAAATCTTATGCATTTATCCACAAATCTATGCTCTTCATTCTTTTTTGATGGTCAGAATTAGCATCTGGTATCATTTTCTCTCTGCTTAAAGAAATTTCTTTAACGTTTCTTGTAATGAATATCTGCTGGCAATGAATTCTTTTAGTTTTGACTATCTAAAAAAATTCTCTATTTTATCTTCATTTCTGAAAGATATGAAAGATAAGGTTGACGGTTTATTTCTTTCAATCCTTAAACATGTTTAATTGTCTTCTAGCTTGCATAGTGGCTGATGAGAAGTTTGCTTTCATTCTTCTCTTTGTACCTCTTTACATAATGTGTTTCTATTTTTTGGTCTGGATGATTTTAAGATTTTCTTTTTATTGATGGTTTTTAGTAATTTGACCATGATGTGATTGGGTATTATTTTATTTATTTTTCTTTTGCTTGGGGTTCATTGAGCTTATAGGATCTCGGCACTTATAGTTTTCATCAAAGTTGGAATAGTTTTGAGCACTATTTCTTTAAATATATTTTTTAATCATAGGCATATTAACTGCTTAATATAGCTCCACAGTTTACATATTCTCTGTTTATTTTCCTCTAGTGCTTCATTTTTGGACAGCATTCTACTGTGTCTTCAGGTATGGTGATCATTTCTTCTTCAGTGTCTAATTTTTTGTTAATCCTTCCCAATGTATTTTTTTAAATTTTTTATTGATTAAGTTTTTACTTATGTGTCCTTATCCCCACGTTACCCCCTAACCCCCCCAACTCATGTCCTCATCCCCCTGTTGTCTGTGTCCATTGGTTAGGCCTATATGCTTGCATACAAGTCCTTTGGTTGATCTCTCCCCCTTACCCTCCTTATCTTCCCCCTCCGAGGCCCAATGATCCGATTGATGCCTCTCCATCTCTGGATCTGTCATCCAAGGCCCAATGATCCAATTGATGCCTCTCCATTTCTGGATCTGTCCTTGTTCATCAGTTTATGTTGTTCATTATATTCCACAAATGAGTGAGATCGTGTGGTATTTATCTTTCTCTGACTGGCTTATTTCACTTAGCATAATGCTCTCCAGTTCCATCCATGCTGTTTGCAAATGGTAAGAACTTTATGGAGAACTTTGAATAAGATCAACCAAATATTGAGAACCCAGAAAGGAAGATGAACGGGAAAGGGAGA